AACGATGCTACTAAAGCATTGATTTTAAGGAGGGCACCAACACCGCGTACTTTACTAATCCAATGTATAGACCTTTCCTTCAAGATGCGCACCCTAGCGCTTCTCCCAGTCTCCGCAATCCGAATCACTCCAGTTCTCTCTTAGAAGGTATGGGTGCCCTTCGAAACGGCATATTAATTAGTCACAAAAATTAGTGAAGCTTCGGTTGCTCTTGCACAAAAGAGATCAGCTGAATCTGCCTTGGCTGAATCCAGGGTCGAATACGAACGGAATGTTAAAGAAATAAAACTGGAACAGATCGTAGCCTAATATTTTTCATACTAATCTTATTTCAGGCCAGGGAAACCGAGAACAATAATTTGAAAAATAAAATAAAATTGTTGGAATCTAAGCTTGAGTCGGCTGAGCAAAGAGGTAGTTGCATGAAAGATGAAGGTGTTCAAACTGATCTTCAATTACCCTCTGATTCAAGTGAAGTTACTGGTGATGTTTTTCAGGTACTAGCAATTACTACCTTTGCTATCCTACTCACTAATGTTCACCGCCATCACCAGCATATAACACAATCTTATGAACTGGCTCTTTATACTAAATAACTCGATGTCTGGGTATGCGAGTAGATGTAAAAATTATATTAGACTCTCTCAGTAGGGCTTTTTAATTTACCGCATTTAAATGCATTCATCATGACGTTCAGGAGTTCGTCTTGTTGGGAATCAATGCTCCTGCAGTTTTTCTCTATACAGCATCGATTCGGGTTTTAAGCTTACGGGAAATGGCTATTTATAAATATGCTATAACTGGTCCACTACATATTATTTCCTCAGAATGCCACCAAATTGCCTTTGGAGTTATGTTCCAGAGGCTTACAAGTTGAAAAATTGGCTTTGAATGGCTTATTACAGTACCTCCAACCAATGCTTAGCTCCTTACATTTAGAGTAAATATTACTAATTATCGATACGTTTTTATAACTAGGAAAACGAGCGGTTACACAAGGATTTGCAGCAAACTCATCAACTTTTGCTAATGGCCCGCAACTCTGAGTCTGTTTATCGGGCACAAGTATCGCTCAATGAAAGTCGACTTGAGTCTAAATGCAGGCAAGTAATCTCTCTTAGTTGATGCTTTTAGCTTATTAAATGAATTTGAGAAATACGTTTCTGACAAGCGAACCGAGCTTGATTCCATAGATCAGTTAAAACATTCACTTGAGGTCAGTTACATGCCGTATTGCCACTATTATATGATTTATGCTTAACAGTGTATTTTTTTATTATTTAAAGTTGTCAGAATGCAAGGCAAAAGTTCTGGAAAATCGCCTACGTATACTAGAAAC